AAAATGCTAAAAAATGATGACTCATCAAAGAATTAGAGAATAAGAGAGTAGATATATAAATGTTTTCAAAGAATACTGGTAATGAAATCATCTCAACAGATATATAGAATTATCATTTTATCAATGTTGATACATTTATAATAGAATATTACAACAACAACAACAAGTGACAGTTGAAGAAAAAGAAGAAGAATATTATTAGATTAAAAATTAATTCTAAAATTAAAATATATTAAAAAATATAAGAATTTATTTCAAAATATGATTTTCATATACATAATTTTTATCAAATTTTAAAAGAAATTAAAGACCAAAATGATTTTCAAAAATTTATTAAAAAGAAAAAAAGGATCAAGATAGAATTAGAGATCAAAAGAAAGAAGAAAGTTATAAAAAAATTAAAGAAGAAAATTCAAATAAAACACCTCTAAATCAACGAGATACTGATTTTTTGAAAGAAGAAATTAAACTTCAAAGAAAAGAAAAACTTGAAATATTTGAACAAGAAATTAAAAAAAAACATCATCCACTTACCCTTCAACTATTATTAAAAAGAGAAATTATTAGAATGTGTAAATCTTGTTTTCAAATCACAGATCATAGTTTCACCCGAGATATTGGTGAATCCTCTTGTTTAGAAGAATCTCAAATCACAGATATTACAAACAAAATTAGCAAAAGTATTATTGAAATGACACACGAAAATATTTTTTGTCCATTTTGTTTTAAAAACAATTTTTTAGAGAGAAAATTACTTTTAGAGCAACCTAAAATACTTTACATTAATTTCAAAAGAAATGTTTTCAATTATTTAACTGGTGATTTTGAAAAATCAAAAAAAGAAATTAATTTTCAAATAATTAATCAAATTCAAATTTTTAATAATAATAATGATGATTATGAAAGATATTTTTATCAATTCAAGTCCATATCAAAACATATTGGTAGTCATTCAAATAATGGTCATTATATTTCATCAGTTTTAACCAAAGATAATAGTGAAATAATCATTTGTAATGATCAAAATTTATCAAAACTTCAAAAATTAGATATTTCATATTTTAATCAAAGTTGCACAATTTTTTATAATTTAAATAATAATATTAAAAATGATCAAAATTTAGTTTTAAATTTAAATAATTTATATAATTCAATAATTAATGGAAATAATATTCAAAATAATCAAAATAATAATAGTAACAATAATATAGATAATAATATAGATAATAATAATAATAATTATTATAATAATCAATTTCAAAAAAATATTAATCAAAATAATTTTTTATTTGATAGTATTTCCAATCAAATTCAATATCAAAATTATTATTATAAATATTATTCAATTATAAAACAAATACAAAATAATAATATTAATCATCAATCCACAAATCTCTTATTTTCGAAACTCTATGGAATTATTAGACAATTTAAAGATGATAATTATTTTAAAAATGTATTAAAAAATAATTCAATTAAAACCTTAGAATATTTATATAAATCTTTAGAAAATTTAAATAATAATAATAATATAAATAATAATAATAATAATAATAATAATTTAAATGATAATAATATTGATATTGATATTAATAATGATAAATTATTAAATGATATATTTAATATTGAATTTGATAGATATTATAATTCTATAAAAAATCACTCAAATATTTCCAACAATTCAAAAATTTTATGTTGTGAAATTTTAAAATGTAATAATTGTCCTATTAAAATAAATACATATCACAAATATTACTATCAAATTGATATTTATAATAATAAAACTAATAATTTATCAGATCTTATCAAAACAATAAATAATATTCAGAAAACATATTCAAATTGTAATAATTGCAAAAATTCCTCTATAATAATTAAAAAATATAAAATTCTAAATAATTTTAGAATTTTTATAAATAGAATTAATAATAATAATAATAATAATAATAATAATAATAATAATAATAATAATAATAATAATAATAATAATAATAATAATAATAATATACCCCTTCATTTTGATTCAAATATAATAATTAATGATGAAAATTATAAATTATTATCAATAATAAATCAAAAAGATGATTTAAAATTTTGGTTTTCATTAGAAAAAAATAATAGAACAATTGTTTTAAAAGATTTAAAACAATTAGAATATCATAGCACTCCTCAAAGTTGCGATTATACATGCTCACTTTTGAACTTCCAAAAGTGTCCCATTGTTGCTTCAGATATAGCTAGTTCCACCCCCTCGAATAGTACCATTGAAAGTCAAAACTCTACTGGTTTAAGTTTCAAGAATAACTTTAGACCCAAAAATCTTATTTTCCCACAATTTAAGAAAAACAAGATCCAATATAATTCTATAGACTTGGATTGGATAAAGCATATTCATATTCCATTGTATGGTGGTGAAAAAAAAGAAACTTCAATGAAATCGTTTATCGGTAGAATGTTTCCAGATAAACTTTCGAGTTTTATTTCAAGACATGGCTATTCTTTCGAAAAATTAGCTATTATTGCAGTTGGTGGCAAAACATTAATTAGGTTGGTTAAAGAAATTGATGTTTATAAAATTAAATCTAGATTTAAAAAAAAAACATCAAATATAGTTTTAGATCAACCTCAAGATATAGATCTAGCACCTCAAGATATAGATATACAATCTCAATCTCAAGCCCCACCATTTCAACATAAATCTGAAGATACTAGTTTCTTCTTCAAAAAAGGGAATGCCAATACAAAAGTTAGCAAGGAGCATCGTAAAATTTTTCATTGTTATCGTCAATTATTTTATAAAGAACCATTTTTCCAAAAAAAACCTGTTGCAGCCTTTCATTTTTTACCCGATGATATAAAAAATAAGATAAAAATATACACAAAACTACAAGCAATCAAGCAGGTTAAAACGCAACATGAAAGTAATGAAATTATTGAAGAAAACTTTTGTTTAAATCTTTTAGGTTTAAATGAGGAGATATATAATAAAATTAAAAACAAATTTAAACAGAAAAATGAACAAAAAAAAATTTTAAATGAAAATCAAAATCAAAATCAAAATCAAAATCAAAATCAAAATCAAAATCAAAATCAAAATCAAAATCAAAATCAACTACATCAATATCAAATAAATCAAATCAAATCAGTTGTTGATATTAATAAACTTACACATATTTTTTCTATGGACACTGGAAGAAGAGATATGTTTGCTATGGTTCATGAAAGTGATATTAATAGCACCACCACTCGTGGAGATTTTTTGGTTGTAAATACAAGGGCCTATAATAGAAAGCAAGGTACCCATTACTATAACCAAGAGTCGAAAAATCTTTTTGAAAGCTACCATCATGCTTTCATAAACAACTCTAAACCAATTCCAAATGGTATGTATTCATATTCTATACAATTATAATATTTCATATTATTTTATTAATACTTTAATTTTTTTTGTAAAGATGGAAATATTTTTAATTTTTTAAAAGAAAAATTTGATTTGAAAAATTATCAAATTGAAAGAGAAATAAATAATATTTTATATTCCCCTAAAAATATAAAAATTCAAATTAAAAGATTCATTACAAAGCAAAGGCAAGAAAATAATTTAAAAAAATTAATAGAGGCTTTTGTTATTAAAAAAATAGGTAGTACCCAATATAACTATCTATTGCACTTAGAAAAGTTAAAAATTATTTCTTCTTGGAAGGAATTTATTATAATAGGTAAATATAAAATTAATAATAAATAAATATTTTAAAATAATATTAATATAATTTTTTTTATATTATTATAAAATAATTAAATAGGTGTTGGTGCAGGAGGTTTCTCTCATAATTCACCAGGTGCTCCTACTTCCTACTCCACCAAAAGAATCGCAAATTTAACAAAATCAATTGGTTTTGTTGTTTTGACAATAGATGAACATCTTACCTCCCAAAGATGTCCATCATGTGTGATCGCCCAAGAACCACAACTTAGAAATATTTTCCCAAATTTCCCCGAATCCACAGTTAAAGAATTTGATCATAACTTAAAATTAGTAAAGTCCAATGGAAACTACAAAATTTTGGAATGCAAGGCTTCAGAGTTACATGGATGTGGTAATCGTGATATTATTGCCGCCAAAAATATTGCAATCATTACAAAAGCAATGTTATTTTGTCCAGATTTTATAATTAAATCCTTTTCTCGTGGTTATAATGATCCAGATGAAGAAAACTTTAATATTCTTCAGGAAAATTCAAATAATAATCATAGTAATATCAATAATAATAATAATAATAATAATAATAATAATAATAATAATAATAATAATAATAATTATAACAATAATATTAATATTAGATAATAATATTTTTATTTAATTTTTATTTAATCTTTTGGAAAAATTAATCTTTCATTAATTTTCCCTAACTATTTAATTTTTAATTAATTTAATAATAATAATAATAATAAAAAATAAAATATTGTTGGCAACCAAATTTTTTTTTTTTAATCATTTTTATAAACACAAATTTTTGGGAAACCGTTTAATTTTATTTTTTATTATTAAATAGTTGAGAAAAAACCACGAACGGAATACAATAGTATTTAAAAATGCAAATAGAATGAAAAGATATTATTTTTAAAACCATTGATACCATACACAAAAAAAAAAATATAGATTTTGGGACATGGTACCAAAAAAAAAAAAAAGTTAAAATAAACCATGGAATTTTTTTGGTTTTTTTGTTAAAATTACAATTTTATTACTATTATATATTATATATTATATTTATAAAAAATAATGAGTTTGTCTTTAATATATTATTATTTAAATTAAAATACAAAAATAAATATTATTACTATTATTTTTTGTTATTTGTTATTTGTTATTATTATTAATATTATAATTATAATTATTATTATTATTTTTTTTTATCTTGGTAAATCATTTAATGCAACAGCATTAACTGCTTTAATGTGACCAGAATAAGTTTTTACAGCCTCACCTTGATGTAAATCCCAAAGTTTTGATAAATGATCACTTGAACCAGTTACAAGATAAGCTGAATCATTTGAAAATGCACAATCCCAAACCCAACGTTGATGACCATTTAAAGTTTGAACTGTTTGGAAAGTTTTTGTGCTCCAAATTTTAACGGTTTTATCTGCAGAACATGTTGCTAATAATTTGGTATCTGGACTAAAAAGAGTTTTGAGAATTGGTGCCTCGTGAGCATCCATTTTTTGAAGTGGTTCAAATCTTGATGTATCGTCATCTCCTAATCTCCAAACAAAACATTTACCTTTGGTATTGGATGCTACAACCAAACCACCATCACTTGAAATTGTTAATGATGTAATACCAACTTCACCATCTGGTACCAATTCTCTTGAACATGTATTTGATATTAAATCCCAAACTCTAATTGAACCATTTTGATCACCTGAAATTAACTCTGCTTGATTTGGATGTAAAACAACTGTATTAACTGGTGCACTACATTCATAATCTCTTTGACATCCTGGTGCTCTAAAAATAGTATATTTGAAATGATTAATATTAATATCATATGATATTTATTATTATATATAATATATAGTAGTGGATATAATTCTAAAATTATTACTTTAAATCCCAAATTTTTACTGTACCATCCTCTGAACCTGTATACATCCATTTACCTTCTTTTTGAAAACCAACACCTGTAACATTACCTTTATGACCATCAAAACTCATAGTTGGTGTATTATTATTAGTACCAACTTCAAACAATCTAGTTTGTGGATTACCTGCTGCTGCAATATAATGTTTGTCATGTGTAATTTCTAATCTATTAATATGCTATAATAATTTTGAAAATAATATTTATTTATTAATAAAAATGATAGTAATTAATTAGTTTTGATTGTTAAAAAATACTCACAAATTCTCCACAATCAATTGAACGATAACATCCACCACTTGGTGGATCCCAAAATTTAATTGTATGATCATAACTTGCTGTTGCTAAAATAATTCCTGGCATTATATATTTATTTTATTTGTATATATATAAATCAAAAATTATTGTTATTATTAATAAAATATTTTTTTTTTTTAATTTTTACAAAATAAAAAAATTAAAAAAAAAATAAAAAAAAAAAAATAAAAAAATCACAATTTTAAAATTTTTTTATATATTATTTTAAAACTTTTGTTTATTAATTATTTATTAATTATTTATTAATATTTAAATTTTAGAATATTAAATAATAATACCATATAATACTATAAACAAATTAATAAAACTAAATAAAATAAAATAAAATTTAAAAAAAATAAAAAAATAAAAAAAAAAATTGATCTTCACATTTAAATATTGAATTCCTCAATAAAAATAATAGATTTAAAATAAATATAATTTAGGTATAAATAACCAAAAGGATAATTTAATTATGAAAACTATCTAAAATTTTTATAAAAAACCTCTTCATTTTTTTTTTTTTTTTTTTTCATTTTTTTTTTTAAAAAAATAAAATATTGAATAAAAAGAAATAAATAATAATAATAATACTAATAATAATAAATTTAATTTTATAATCATTCTTTTTTTAAAAAATTATTTATTCTCTATAATAATAATAATAAAAATTATATTATGAAAAAAATTATTTAATTATTTTTTTTTTTTAGCAGTAATATCAAATTGTGTTAACTATGAAAGTTCGTAAAAAAAACAATTATTTTTTTTGCACACAACTTTTTGTTTTTTTATTTTTTTTTTTTTTTTTAAAAATTTTATTTTTTTTTTTTATTTTTTTATTTTTTTTAAATTTTTTTTTTTTTTTCATTTGATCATTTTTTTTCATACAACACGTTTATCTTTTTATTTCAATAATATTATAGTTGTGAAAATCAACTATATAATTTAACTTTAAAGATGTTTGCTCAAAAATTGATTGGAAATGTAATATTACCAAAATAATAAAACAATAATTAAAATAAAAATAAAATTTAAATAATATAATATAATATAATAATAAAATAATCAAATAAATTTTATCACATAAAAATAATATGAAAAATAATATTTAAAAAAATTTTCAATTTCAAAAAAAATAAAAAATAAAAAGAATAATAAACAGTAATAATAATAATAATAATATCAAAAACAGAATAGATAAAAATGATAATAGATTATTAAATCAAATATAGGGATAGTGCGAGGACAATAAAATAAAAAAGAAATTAATTTAAAATTAACAAATATTTATGACATTAAGATAAAATAAAAAACAATTAAAATTGAAAGAGAAAAGTTTAGATAATTCAGAATGTTAATAATAATAACAATAAAAACAATATTAATAATAATAAATAATATTTTCACAAAACTATAATAATAATAATAACAATTTTTATTAAAATTAAAAATTATAATAATAAATTAACATAAAAATATATTTTTTTTTTTAAATTAATAATTTATAGGGATTATTAAATAAAGTTGCAATTGTTAGTGGTATTGTTGGTACTGCTGCAGCTATTACTACCTCAACAACTTTATTATCAGACGATTTTGTTGCCCCAGCTAAGTACCCATGGGACCATCGTTTCCCATGGCAATCATTTGATCATGCTTCAATTCGTCGTGGTCATCAAGTTTATACTCAAGTTTGTTCAACTTGTCACAGTTTAAATTTAGTTTCATACCGTCATTTAGCTAATGTTGCCTATACTCCAGAAGAGTTAAAAGCTATGGCTGCTGATACCACCGTTATGGATGGTCCAGATTCAGAAGGTGATATGTTTGAACGTAAAGGTCAAATCACTGATTTCCATCCAAAACCATACGAAAATGCTAATGCTGCTCGTTTCTCAAACAATGGTGCCCTCCCACCAGATCTTTCATTAATCATCAAAGCTCGTGGTGCTCATGAAGATTACGTCTTCTCACTTTTAACTGGTTACATGGATCCACCAACTGGTGTTCGTATTGTCAATGGCCAATATTTCAATCCATATGTAAGTTTTTTTTTTTTTTAGTTTTATTAGGTTTTTTTTATTTCACCAAATCAAAATAGAAATCTAATTTTAAAATTTTTCAAACAATAGTTCCCAGGTACTAAAATTGCTATGGCCCCACCATTATCTGACGGTATGGTTGAATTCGATGATGGCACTGAAAACTCAATGTCACAAATGTCAAAAGATGTTTCAACTTTCTTATGTTGGGCCTCTGAACCAGAACATGATGATAGAAAGAAATTAGGTTTGAAGATTCTTCTTGGTTTAGGTATCATTACTCTCCCACTCTTCTACTGGAAGAGATTAAAATGGAGTGTCATTAAAACCAGAAAAATTTCATTCAAAGATTAAATTTAATATAATATTTATAACAATAATAATAATAACAATAACAATAACCAAAAAATCAATAATAATATAAAATAAAAACACAAAAAAAAAAAATATACAAGTAATATAAATAGTAGTGATAAAATGAAAAAACTAAAATAATAACAAATTTGCTAAAAATAATAACAATCAAATATTTTAAATGTTAATTATAAAATAATTAATATTAAATTAAAAAAAAAACTTTTTAAAACATTTAAATTTTAAAGATATTTAATATCTTTTTTTCTTTTTATTTTTTTTATTTTTAATTAACTAAATCATGATTCTAATTTTTGATTATAACGATTAAATAATTTCATTTAATTTATGAATTGTGTTTAGTTAATATTAAAATGGGGGGTTATTATATTTTTTATTATTTTTTTATTCTTTTTTTTTCAGAAAGTTAAAAGAAAATTAATTTTGTTAAAATTATTTAAAATCTTATTTCTATTTATTTTATTTGTTTTAAATAATTAAAACAGATATAAAAAAAAAACTATAAATACAAAATTTTTATTTTACATTTTCATAACAAAAAATTTATGTAAATATTTTTAAAGGTATGTAATTTTTTTTCAAAAAAAATAAAATATTATCATATATTTGATTATAATTGATAATAAATGAAAATAAAACTATTTTAATAGAAAACATATATTATATATGTTAAAGTTAAATTCTAGTTGCAATACAATAATGAAACATTCATTTAAAATTTAGTAACACCGGGCAATCATTTGTCTAGGCTTTAAAATTTACTATTTTCGAACCTACATAAAAAATTTTTGAAAATTTTTTTTTTTTTTTTTTTTTCAAAATTTTTTTTAAAAATATTTCTAATTTTCGTTTTTTTTTTTTTTTTTTTTTTTTTTCTTTTCTCTTTTTTCTCTAGTTATAACTCACATAATCCAACATGTCAGAAATTAAAGTTGAAGGTGCGTGGATAACATTATAACAATGTTTTCTTTTATATTCTTTATTCTTTTTTTTTAAAATGATAAATTAAAATATAATAATAATAATAATATATTATAAATATATTTTTTTTTTGATCAAAAAAAATATTTATATTTATAAATATAAAAGAGATAGAAAATTATTTGGATAAAAAAATACGAAAATTAAACAAACATCAAATAACAATCAAATTAAAAAGAAATAGATTATAATAGTTGGATATAGGAGGAGAGGGGTTGCAGGAATTTTTAGCAATATTAGTTTTTATAAAAAAAAAAAGAGATAATAAAAAAGAGATAATAAAAAAATTATGTGGATTTTTAGGTTATTTTAGCAAAATATTTAATTTTTATAATGTTTAAAAAACCTATAGAATAATAATTATCAACAATTTATAATCAAAATATTAATATTTTATTATCAAAATATTAATAATAATAATAATAATAATAATAATAGTTTTATAAATAAAACTACTATCACAATCTCAAATAAAAAAAAGAATAAAGAAAAAAAAAAGAATACATTATCAAAAAAAAAATTACGAAAAATATTAACATTTTAATTTTATTTTATTTCTATAGAACTCGCTTGTATCTACTCTGGTCTCTTATTACAAGACGACAACATTGAAATCACTGATGCCAAAATCAAAACTTTATTAGAAGCTGCTGGTGTCACCGTTGCTCCATTCTGGCCAGGTTTATATGCTCGTTTATTAGCCAAAACCAACATTGAAGATTTATTATTAAATGCTGGTTCATCAGGTGCTGCTGCCGCCCCAGTTGCCGCCGCCGCTGCTGCTGCCCCAGCTGCCGCTGAACAAAAAGCTGCTCCAAAGAAAGAAGAAAAGAAAGAAGAATCAGATGACGATATGGGTATGGGCTTATTCGATTAAATTCTTTAACTTTTATTAGTAGTGTTCAAAATAAATAAAAAAAAAACTTTTTTTTTTTAAAAAAGAGTTTTAAAAAAAAATATAAAAAATTAATTTTTAAAACAATAATTATTTATTTATTTATCTTTAAATATTTATTTCTTTTTTTTTTATTTTTTTTTTTTTATTTAAAATTAAAATGATGATGGTTTATAATGAACTATTTGTTGATGAACCAATTGTGGCTATACCATTTGTTAAAACTAAACTACCATCTCTGCTTGTTTTTGATTGGAATAAAACTTTATCGTCAACTTTCCAATATTCACTTTCAATAGTTTCACCTGGATAAACAATATTACTAAAACGAACTCTAATATTCTTTAATTTACTTGGATCATTACCACAAAAATGTTCAACAACACCTCTACTCTGTTAATAGAAGAAAAAAAAGAAAAGGTTAATATTTTTTTTAATTTATTATTAAAATTTAAATAATACATACAGCAATACCAAATGTACATAAACCATGTAAAATTGGAACTTTGAAACCACCAATTTTACTCATTTCTGGGTCAATATGTAATGGGTTGAGATCACCACCAGCTAAACGATAAATAGCAGCTTGATCTTCAGTGGTTTTTTGTGAAAAGGTTGCATCTGGTTTACGTTGTGGAATTTTTTCAGTTTTTTCTACTGGTTGTTTTGGTCCACCAAAGCCACCAATACCTCTAATATAAAATGAAAATCTATTTAAAAAGATTGGTTTTCCATTTGACTTGTCAGAGGTAAGACAATCGAAAAGTAATAATGCACCCTTACCCTTGTCATATAAACCGGTGATCTTTGTTTCTGTTTCAAAAATACCTTGTGTTGGAATTGGATTTTTAATTTCTAAATATTGTTCACCATGTAATAACATCATTGGATCAAATTCTAATCCTGGAATACCTTCACTAATAATATCTACAATAATTTGACCTGGAAAAATTACACCTATAGTTGGTAATGCTGAAAAGTCGTGTGACCCTTAAAAAAATAAAAAAAAAAAAGTTAGATTCCTATTATACTTGTTACATCTATTAAGCTATTTATAATATACCTTCGTAGACATATTTTAAATCTTTTCTACCACAACCAATACTCAATGCATATAAAGAAACTTGTTTTGTAGTAAGATGATATTCATATTTATTAAATTTAGCATTTAAAACTTTTTGAAGATCTACCATTTTATTTTAATTATTTAATTTTAAAATTAAAAAATAAAACTATTATTACAATATATATATATTAATATTTTTAAAGTTGAATAGAGTTAAAACTAAATTAATAAAAACAAATATTTATAATATATGTGTTTAAAAAAAAAATAAAAAAAAATAAAAAAATTAATTTTTTTTTTTTTATTAATTTTTTTTAATTTTTATTTTTTTTGAAAATTTAGTGTTTTATCTGTAAATGATGCTATGGTTAGCTAAATTTGGAAATATTATTTTGATTGATCATTACTATTATTATTATTATTATTATTGTTATTATTATTTTTATCTTTTTCCATTTGAGCTCTTAATTCTGCTTTACGTTGTTCCATCGCGTTTAATCTTTCCATTTTTAAAAAGAATTGCATTGGATCTTCATTATTATCTGAGGTATCTAACGGAATTGGCTTGGCATATGGATCAAGTATTTTTAATTTCTTATTATACTCCTCCATTTGATTAAAATAAATTTCCCAAACACACGAAGGACCACAACCTGAACCCCAACAATTGGTGGGAACCTCTGGTTGCCCATTATCGTTTATTTTTATTGTTGGTATATTCT